TTATGGATAAGAGAGGGGCTGCGCTGGCTTGTCCTCAGTGGCAGGATGGGGGGTGCTTCATCCCAACCAGAGTTGAAGCTCTCCCGCCTGCTGGCCCCCCCAAGCCAAGCCCTGGGAATGCTGACACTGCTTACCTCTGAGGTGCTAGGATACCCGAAAGGCAAGGCACACTGTGTACAGCTGGTCTTTATACCTGCATGTGTGCCAGAAACCGGAAGACCTGGTTGCCAGTGAGCATGTGCATGCTGGAAACCAGAAGATAAACTGCTTTTCCGGTTTCTGGCACATGCATGCGTGCAAGCTCCGGTTTGGGCAGATGCTGAAAAGGTTTGCAAACACTGTGATAGGATCAACTCAATGGCTTAGTTCTACATTCCATCTGAATATGAATGGGGCCAATGCAATGATAGAGCAATACTTCAAATGCTATGTCAACTACCAGCAATCTAACTGGACAGACCTCCTGCAGTTTTGCTGAAGTTGTATACAATAATCCTGTACCTAGCAGCACAGGGTTTGCCCTATTCAAAGTAACTACAGGGGTGGAATTTGTACCTATGCCAGAATACCTTGGGAACCCCCTTTCTCAGGGAACTTGACTGAGTGGGTGAGTTATTTGCAAAATGCATAGGGAAATGTAAAACAAGCGCTGGTTAAGATGATGGAGACTCAGAAAGTGCAGGCAGACAATAGACAGTCACCCTGAAACTGTTTCACATAGGAGAGAAAGTGTATTTATCTACAAAGTATCTGAAATTGAAGCTGCCCTGCTGAAAGCTGGGTCTAAAGTTTGTAGGGCCTTTTCCAATAGTGAAAATCATAAACCCAGTTACAGTAGAGTTGAAACTGCCATGTCTACTGGGAAAAGTGCACCCCGTGTTCCATCACAGTTTGCTTAAGCCGGTGGTGGGGTCAGCGCTAAGGCTAGTAGCCAGGGTAGCTCCAGGTCCAATTGTAGTGGAAAGAGAGACACACTATGAGGTTAAAAGGATCCTGGATTCTAGGCTATACAAGGGGAAACTCCAATACCTGGTCCAGTGGAAAGGATACCCAATGTCAGAAGCTGTGAAAGTGCAGAATATGAAGGCAGATTAATTGATAAGGAAGCTTCATCCCAGAAACCAAAAGGGCCTCCCTGGAGACCTAGGGAACCCCTGGCTTTATTAATGTATATGCGCGGGCTTGGTGTTTTCCAGGTGCTTCTCACTTTCTAAGGGGATCCGATTGTCAACTTCAAAATGGAACTAGGCTGTCACAGCTATCTTTTCATTCCTTAGTTTGCCACACAGTATGGGAGAGGTTTTGAATGTCAAACCAGACAATAACAACAGATGGTCCTGTAGGGACCAAGTTCATCTCAACAGATGCTGGCCAGAGACTAGAAGGAGTTGCCAGGAAGATGCCAGAACACCTAACTGGACAATGTGACCTGTGACAAGGAGTGAGGGAAATATCTATTCTTTAATTATACCGAAACCACGGGAAATAGTTAGAGTTGGTTTTGCTTTCATGCGTGCCGAAATGATGCACTCAATCAAACAATTCTTTGAGAAAGTTGATTGTCTCGGAGTGCTGAATTGGTTGGGTTTGCCAGTTGGAACCTTTTCACTAAGGATGAAAGCCTCCTAGAATGCATATGGGTCAATATAAAAGAAAAAAAGAATGACATTGCCATAGATGTATACTACAGAGCACCCAACCAAGCAGAAGAAATAGATGAACTTTTTGCCACTCAGTTAACAAATGTATCAGTGGTGGGATTCAGCCGGTTCGCACCTATCCGGGAGAACCGGTTGTTAACTTTCTAAGCAGTTCGGAGAACCTTTTGCTGGAAGAAATCTCATTTTGTTTTTTTCCACTTTACAGGACTAACCTGTAAGGAAGGCAGGAAGGAAACATTCTGGTGTTGTTTCTAGCCTAATCTTTATTGCCCTGCTTACAGAAACTGCCTCTCTGGTTAGCCCTTATGACATTGTAACAACTAAGCAACGTGTCCATTGATGTGAGTGACGTTGAGTTAGCCATGGCCACTGAGCCACGGCTACCTAGCTGGTCATTAGGGCAGAGAACCGGTTGTTGAATTATTTGAATCCCACCACTGAAATGTATGTAGGAAATAAGCCATAGTAAGAAAAGGAGGACTTTACCCTCGTATCAGCTGGAAGACAAATACTGCATCATGTGAAAGATTAAACAGGTTCCTGATTAATCTAGCTGACAACTTTGTCATCCAAAAGTTAGAGGCAAGAACTAAAGGGACAGCTATATTGGACCCAATTCTTACTAAAAGAGAAGAAAAGGGAAAAAAGGTGGTGGAAGTTAGGGGAACCATGGGGGAGAGTGACCATATCATATTGGAATTTGATATAATGCATGCAAAACAATAGAACATAATAAAACCAGCTTCTTACACTTAAAAAGAGTTGATTTTGACAAACATAGAGAAAGCTTGGGAAGGAATTCATACATGAAAATCTTAAAGGAGAAAACAACCCAAGAAGCTTGGGAAACACTAAAATATGTAATTACAAAAGCCCAGTCCACCACAATAACAGAAATAAGGAAATCCAAGAAGAGGCCAGCATGGTTGCACAAAGAACTATCTGATAAACTGAAACACAAAAAGGGTAAGTATAAAAAAATGGAATGAGGGATACATAACTGAGGCAGAATACCAGCATATAGCCCAAATCTGCAAAGATTAAGATTAACTAAAACTTGCAACAAATGTAAAAAAAAATTCTGAAAGCATTTAATTCAACATATAAAAAACAAGAAAAAAGTGAAGGAAACAATCAATACACTAATGGGGGACAATGACAAGGAAGTTGCTTAATTGCTTCTTAGCATCTGCCATGATTCAAAAGGGGGGTGGAATCTTATTTTTGAAGATTCAATCTTTTGAAGATTCCCATCTTCAAAAAAAGGGGGGAAATTGAAACTACAAACCAATAAGTCTGATATCTATACCTAGGAAGAGCCTTGAAAAGATAATCAAGCAACAGATCTGCTGACACCTACAAGCAATTGCAATTATTACAGTTATCTGGTAACTATTTCTATTTGGACTTTGATCGGAAGACAGACTAATTCTGGAGTTTATTATATTTAATTAAGCAAACATGGATTTTGCTTCAGGATGAACTATTTATAATTTTTGGGATGACTTGGGATAGATAAGATGCTCTGGGAAATTTTCTACAAGTGGATTACAATAACAGTTTGTTAGTTTTGAAACTTTAATTTTATTCTTATTATTCCTGTTAGGTACTTTGTCATTAAAATAACTTATAGAAGACAGGTCAACAATTTGTAAATAGATGTAAGTAGATTAAAATGTTTGGGACAGTCAGTTTGTAAGGGGAGGGTACTGATGTTGTAGTAATCTATTAATCAGTATTCTAGAGGGGATGTTATATGTATATGTAATAGAGGGAGTTGATCTTTTTCTTTTTAAATCGGTGTGTGTGTGTGTGTGTGTGTGTGTGTGTGTGTGTGTGTTTCCTTTTGGGATACCTTTTTTGAGTTCTGTATTTTGTATTCTAATTTTATTTTGAATAAATTAAAATATATTTTCTACTCATGATGAGTGACTGCTTATGCATTGCTTTCCCCACTCTCTCCTCTACCAGAATCACCCAGTTGATCTCATCCAGTTTGACTGGGATTCGTCTCAATGAGAAAGTTTTTGTCCACGTCATAATTAGCACTGGTTTGGGGCTTGGTGGGGGGGTGGGGTCACATCCCATTGTTATATGAAATGTAACAACTCACCATGGCCAACTTACTGCAGGACAACTTGCCATGGCCAACTCACCACAGGACAACTCACTGCAGAACAATTTAAAAACTCAATGTAATTATTTAAAATAGTTAAAAATATTTTAATTTTTGTCATTCACATTTCATTTTGTCTCTCCTTTGGCATCCTATCTTTAATGATTTTATTCCACTATTTCCTTAATATTAGTGTAACTGTTGTCCTGCAGAGAATTGTTCTGTGATGAGTTCGCCATTGCGAGTTGGTTTTGGTGAGATGGCCATGGTAAGTTAGCATTAGCAGTTAGACTTATATACCGCTTCCTAGGGCTTTCAGCCCTCTCTAAGCGGTTTACAGAGTCAGCATATCACCCCCACAGTCTGGGTCCTCATTTCACCCACCTCGGAAGGATGGAAGGCTGAGTCAACCTTGAGCCGGTGAGATTAGAACTGCTGAACTGCAGATAACAGTCAGCTGAAGTGGCCTGCAGTACTGCACCCTAACCACTGCGCCACCTCGGCTGTGGCAAATTGTCGTAGAGCCATTGTCATATGCTGTGGACAAGGAACGGAGTTTTCCAGATGGAAAACTGGGAGCAGTCATATTTATTCTGTACCTCAATGCTTCAGTTCAGATTATGAAGTATATCTCCATGTAAATAAAGACTGGTCCTTTGTCAAAGGACCAAAATAATAGATTTTGTTCTTACTTGGGTAAACAACAATAGGAACACAACGTACTATTTAACTGAAGCACAATATACAGTATATTCCTTAGGTTTCTTCTATTTTCAAATTTTTTCCATCATAACTCACCTAGTATAGGTGTTAGAAAATATTTCAGAAGATATTTATCAGAACATAGGCAAATAGAATTTGAACGGACCTTGGAGGTCATCTAGTGGAAACACTCTGTTCGAGCAGGAGAGCTTATGCTATTTCAGACAAATGGCTGTCCAGGGCCCTTCTTTAAGGAGCACCCGCAACTTCTGATTTTCTATTCTATATTAATATATAATAAACAGAATAAATAGAACATTGATATTCTACTTCTCTAAGCTTCACTCTTTCACTAAAGAGTTATAGTGAAGTATATTATGGTATAACAGATATAATCATCACTACTACCCCCACTTTTCTTTTTGTGGTAATCTTTCTTAATACTTTTGCTATACTAATATTGATTTGAAAAGAGAAGACACAACATGGTTAAGGCAGGCATAGTCAATGGTGACACTTACCAAAAACAGTTCTCGCAGGAACGGACTCTTTATTAATCCAAAATGACACCTGGGAGAGGATCACAGTCATGATGCACGGAATATATGTCTGTATCATAAAATATCCCATTTTCCTTCGGAGATGGAAGTGTACTGTCATGACCACATATTCACCTAATAAAAGCCAAAACAACAACAACAAAACCCCAACACTTCACTTCATATATCTTAATTTAAAAAAACAACCCATCAAACAGTGAATCATGAAAAATCGGAAAAGAAAATCTCTAGTTTTTTCATATCTTCCTAAAATCACAAGAAGCTAAAGTAAAATAGGTCACATCTTATATTGCAGCCTTTCTGGAAGCCTCAGCTACTTTTATCTCTGTGAAGGAAATTAGGGGTAGAGAATGATCCAGGAATGACAAAGTAAACCCAAGAAATGGTAACAGATCTTAAAACAAAGAAGAAATCAGTACCATTTGATTTTCCTCAAGTCAGCCTTCCAAAAGATGGTGCCTGCCAAATGTTTTGAAATAAAATTCTCAGGCAGATCCATCTAATTATAATGGGCAATAAAGAGAAGGAGGGTCCTGAACTATGCTGTTTAAGGATTCAGAAAGGTTGTTTAGGGCTTTAAAAGGCTGCTTGGGGAGTTGTAATTCTTCAGAAAGCTTGTCATACCTGCCCCAGTTTGATCCCTTAGGAAAGAAAGACCCTCAACTCCATTGGGTTGAAGCAAAAGTTTCTTTACTAAAAATATATTGGCTGAAGTAAACTCAGACTAGCTCTGGGTTTCCCACCCTCACAAGATACAGAAAGGTTTCCCCTCATCCCAGTCCTACTCTATGACCTCTCGTTCTTCAGCCAATCAGAATTCACTGAAGTGTTCTGAAAATGCTAAAATGTTTTTGGGGTAATTCACACTTGTTCTTAGGATGCGTGGCCTTGGATGCTGGTACAAACTAGTTCTGAGCTTGTCTGGTCTTTATCACCTGTCATTCCTCCCTCCCTATTTCCCATCACATATACATAGAGCTTTATTGTCCCTCCTCTCCCTTCCGCTAGCCTTTGATGTCAGGATGCCTATGAGGCAGCAAACTGAGCCTGGCAGTCCTGACATTTTGCCCCCCTTGACAGAGATGTTAATCATGTAAAGGAAAAAGAAGAGGGGAGGGAAAGACAAACAGAAACTTCTAATTAGCAGATAATTCAATGAAGTTTATCTGGGTACTGTTCATGGGATTTTTTAAAGCACTCTGGAGGCTTTAATATGTTTGGAATCAACCCATTCAGTCTCTGAGGGAGGGGAGTCTTTCCATGCTACTAAGTACTGGGTTTTCCCCCAATATATACAGGAGTCCAAAATGTCTTTGACTTCAAAGTGTTGCTTTCCCTCAATCATAATGGGCTCAAGTGGTGGTTATGACTCAGGGTGTAGGGAAGACATAATCTCTGGTTTCAATAAGACGCAATGAAACACAGGGTGTACGTGTCTGAGCATTTTTGGCAGCTCAAGTTTTATAGTCACTGAATTAATAATCCTTTAAATGGGGAAAGTTCCAACATATTTTGGCCTGACCCAGGTTTTTTTCCTCTGGGAGAAATCATAATGTGAAGTTGAACCAGTTAAAGTGCTGAGCCCAACAAATTGTTTGGACAATAACCTTTTGGGGGGGCTCCAGATTCTTATGGTCAGTCCATGCTTCAAATGGGTATTTCCCCCTTTCTAGGAAATGTCTCCAAGTTAGGAGCACCCAGTGCACCACATAGACTTCCTTCCCAAACTGCCCTTCTCTGCTGCATCTCATTAAGCTTTTTAGAAGCCTAAGGTCATAGCTTAGGATACATTTAAGTTGGCTGGGCTTGGGCTTTCCCTCCCCTTTTGTCTTTAGCAGTTTGATGATGGAGAGTTATCTGGGCAAATAAGGGAATGGATTGGTGGTAAAAGTTTGTAAGTTCCAGGAAGCTTTGTAATTGCTTCCGGGTGCAGGAAGGAGCCCACTCTAGCAGTGTCTGCACCTTTTTGGGCTCCATCTCTATTCCCTCATGTGGTAGCCCGGATAATCAATTTTACTCTGGTGAAATTCACATTTGGATAGCTTAGCATATACTTTGGCTGTTCAAAGTTTTGTGAGCACAGCTCTGACTAGTTTTACATGTTCTGCCTTTGTCTCAGTATAGATTAAAATATCATTCAGGTAGACTAGCACTCCCTTGTACAGGTGTTCATGCAGCACTTCATTTATCAGCTGCACGAGGACAGCAGAGGCCTCTTGCAGTCTGAAAGGGAGGACTTGGAAACATCCTAAGGGAAAAATGAAAGCCATTTTCCACTCATCCCCTGCCATGATTCTCCCGCATATCCAATTTGGTCAAGACCTTCCCCTTGGCCAAATAGGCTAGCATGGCCTTCATCAAAGACATTTTCCCTGCTGACAGCATTAGGCCCCCTAAGCATTAAGCGCATAGATAAAAGGACCCATACTTCTTTTCCTTAAACAGTAACAGGGCAGCAACCCTTGGGGCAGCTACTTTCAGTCTGGCAGGCTAGATGAAACCATCAGGTATCAGGTATTTGTATATAAATTCTGCACTTCCTCCAATTCTCTAGGGGTCATGGAATGGGTAGTTTAGGTTTGGGTAGTTTGGCTCCCAGTTGGATTTCTATGGAATATTTGGTCGGCTGGTGGGGTGGGAGCGCATCTGACTCCTTTTCACTGAAAACATCCCATAAGTCCTAGTACACTTTGACGATCCAGGGATCGCCTTGGGGCCAGTCTTTGATGGCTATTCTCACCTCCCTTATTGACTTCAGCCACAGCAGTTTAAGGGTAGCCTTTCATGGTTCTTCCCCTATCCTCCTTCAACACTGGCCCGCCAGATCTTTAGCAACCCCCTCTTCTAGTTCACATAAGGCAGCGATGGCGAACCTTTTTTGGCTCACATACCAAAAGCAGGGGGAGCGCGGGGGGGGTCGTGCATGGGCATGCCGTACCAATAATGCAATGTGTGACACCCCCCAGTGCGCATGCACGCATGACAGGCATACACACCCCATTTTTGCATGCTTTTTTCACCCTCCCCAGGCTCCAGAGGCTTTATAGGAGCCCGGGGAAGGCGAAAACAGCCTCCCCCACCAAGTACCTTCTTAAAATATAAGATGTTCCAAGTAGCACAGTGTTTTGCAGTTCCACTGGTGTTATTGCAGGAAGCTGCAATTTGTTGATGTA